TTATAATTTTCTGAAGTTGACCATATCAGATCGTTATTGAAGGCTTTCTGAGATGAACATGTAGTGCGAGTGATTAAGTTCACTACGAAGTATTCAAAAATATCTTACATATTGGAACACAAAAAGTAAATTAGTTAAATGGCAACTTAGAAACAACGCTTTAAAAGTACTAATATTAATAACACTCTGTTACTTATCAAGCTGTTAAAACATTTTCCGTCTCATCTTACGGAACAGCCAAGCGTTCTTGGACGGTCTAGATGGCCCGAGTCCTAACAGCGCACGTGTGATGGAGTCCATTGACGTTACCGCACTATGGAAACGTGTGGAATTAACCCGCTATGAAAACCATCCTCGAACTCTTTGTGCAACACGAAGGAGCAATAAAATGAAAGCTGTGATCCTAGGCAAGATTCGAACCTTTGGCCTTTAGTTTGCGTTTCTCCCGGCCAGTTTTTACCACAGCGGTGCTATCAGCAATGACGCGTCAACGAGAATGATCGGGTGGGGGGGGGTGGTACAAATCAAAATCAGCACTGAACCCAGTTAAGCTGAAGCTGCATTCGAAACTACAATATATAGATTTTTATCTACTACCTATTATTTTTTTGAATCTGACCTAAGGTCGGAGTTTTACAAATATCTCAGCATCATTATGATTGCATTTTACACGGAATTATTTCATTAATGCAGGTTAATAAAAAGCATCCTTTGGGAATTACTGCTCTTGAAAGTTTTCGAAAAAAATTTCAAATTTTTTTGCGCCTCTGTTAAATTCTCTACAAGTTCTTTTACGTGGCGAACATGTGGCAAGGGATGAGGGGTCGACTGACTGCTCGAGGGCGATGCAGTAAGTCGCGTCGTGCAGTGAATGAAGGAAAAACGTATGAAGTAAAGTCAATTGTATGAAATTTTTGTATCAAATCAGCAACCGTTGCAGTACGGAGAAGACTTGAACAGCCATTTAATGACATGCCTTCTTCCAGTACCTGGCAACCATTTCTAGCGCAGTTTCACCTTTAAAATTGAAATTCTGAGAAAATGGACTCATAGAAATGGTTTCGTTCTTTTCCAAATTTGCCCTATGCTTTAGTTTATTCTGCAATTTTTTATTGTCAGTTATTTAACTATTTATTAGGTTACTTTAATACCGCAAAAACGAGTGTTTCAACCGACGGGATCGCTTCTAATGACTTTAAACTAAGTAGAGTAACGACAAGTACTCCAAAGTGCAAACCGAGCATGGAAGAGAAATGATATACAGTAGCAGATTGAGTTGTGTTGAAAGAAATTTTAGAACATGCAAGGTGCGAATGAACTATTCGGACTAGTGCAACAATCGTCATCTGTGGCTTATGTGATCTTCAAATTTATAACAATCTAACAATCTTTTTTAAAAAGAATAAACGTTTATAGCAATCTTTTTTGATGTAGTACTTTTTATTTACTCCCTATTCCTTTTCATGGCAGGTTATGATGTGAAATATAACCATAATCGTTCTGAAATATTTGCAAAATTCTGCACCGCAGGTGCCTGCTCTGGGAACGAACGCGTTATTACCCTTTCCAGGGGCTAATGGCTTCGCCGCTACACCATATGGGTCCTTCGTTTCGCATTTCGCATAAGCACTCGTTAGGTCGTATCAAACAGAGGGACAATTGTTGTACAACACAGTGATAATGTGACATTTGCGCTATTACTTACCATTTGTATCTCCTGTTACTCCCCTAATAAGCGAGTCTTTTGGAGGAATCATAATTTCAGCACGTAGTTCCCCTTATAAAATTGACTCAAAATTTTATCCAATCCGTTCAGTTAGTACTAAACTTTTCGAATTACCAGTGAGAAGTTATGCTTATTAAGCCTCGATATACAGATAGAGATGGATCGTATCCCAGTAGCAAGGAGAGATGATGCCCCATATTTCCATCGGGAAGCCCAATTAAGCTAAATCAAGATCAGACAATTACTGTTGAGCAGTAAAAAACTGGCTGGCTACTATTCGCAGTTTCATGACGTGGAAACATCTTGGTGCGGCATTCTTGTGAATCTAAGGAAAGCTTCTAGCCTTGCAACTAGATAGCAGTTGAATTGAAACTCTCCTGAGAGCGTGCTATTACAGTGTTAAAGACGCATCGAGCCACGTCATTCTTATGAGTGGTAATGATGATGATTGTGAAATTTAGAAGGAAGATAGGAGAATGAATGGAAGAAAAGAAAGAGAAACCAAGTCGAATTTGAAAATCGCGAGGGCGCTACGGAAGAGCTTGTTGAAAATTCTCATTCTATCTGGTGTAGTTAGGTGAATCTTTGTTAAAATTTAGGATACTTTAAAAACGGACCTTTTAGTTGTTTATAATTTTCATAAATGTTAAGACTGTACAAAATTATTCGTTCAAGTGGACAGAATTTGCGCGATTCTTTCTTTTGATAAATTCTCAAAAAATTTCTTCCTCTTTGTTTCCTTCCACTTTTTTTTATCCATTATCGTTGGGCGCGCATAGCGCAGAGTTAGAGAAGCAGTTCAATAATACACACTACGTGTCAGTTCGATTTTGTCTGGGTCAACTGAATCCTCGATCTCTTCAGGGTCCAAGGATTGGTAGTAGATCTGCTAGAATGCTTTCTCGAATCCCCAAGATCTAGGAATTTCTTAGCATGTTTATCGCGCTGTTCCAAAAAGCCCATTAAAGTCCAAGTTCATTAAATAAACATTCAGCGACATCCATAAAGAAGAACAAAAAACTCAAGCAGTTGTTGAATGCACATGCAATTGCAAAGTCCTTCGTAGATGACGAATGTGAGTGAAAGAATTGAATAGAGGATCTGCAAAATATGTGATGTTGTGTCATGTACAATAAAATAAAGCAAACAAAAATTCACTATCTTCTAAACTTCACCTGTTTCACCTGTAGCTCATATCTTTCTTCTAGACTTTTGGTGAAGAACTCTGACCATGGGGTCGGTGTTCTTCCTGCAGTGCGTTCCAAGGAATCCAGTTACTAACGGCTGTTGTACATCGGTTGTCATTCATACACATTACGTGTCAGCCCTTCTAAACTTTGCTGCAGTTATTTTAAAGCGGCTAATTATTCCCTACTGAGACTGAGATTCCTTCGTCTGTAAAATCCTAAGTTCTCAGTAAATTAATACTAATCATAGTTAAGAATCCATCATCTATTTCTTATTGTCACTTTATAGAACATTTTTTTTATTAATCTTTTCATACGTTTAGAATAAGGGAATAAAGGACACAGCTCTCGATCAATCCTTAAAGGATGCACTATGCGTTCGAGTTCAAGCATCATAGAGTTTATTGAATACATATTTGCCCTGCTCACTAACTTGTGGTTGGTTCCTATGCATAAAGTCTGTGGTGCTTACCTCTCAAACAACTCTTGTACTGATTTACCGACTCCAGAACGATGGAAACCCTGGTGAGCACGGAACGCGAGGTTCAACTGACGACCACGCGTGTATTGCAGAGCACAACTGACCATCCTACAGGCGCCCTCAAGATATAGAGTTAAAAAGAATAAAGGGTAGCACTCTCGGCGTTAATCAATCCCTGAGGGATGCGCCATGCATACGGCTTCATTAAACATCGTTGGAAGTGATTGAATGCATATTTGGCCTTTACAATAATTTGCGGTGGCCTACCGATGTATCGTGCCAGTGCTGCTATTCTCCCAGACAAGTCTGGTACCACCAATTTGCCAACCACGGTGAGATCAAAGGCTTAGTGGGCCTGGGGCACGAGAAACAATTCCACATGTATGTCATAGTGGTGCCCCCAACCACTACTCCAAACGCTCCATTGGGTTAACTGGAAAATTTATCGTCATGTAAAATTGATATTCTTATAGGTCTAGCAAAATTGATTTGTTCTTTTTACAGTCTTTCTCAACCAACATCGCCACAATCTGGTACATCGTTAGGCTCAAGAACAGGATTCTCTTTCGATTCACTTTTGCCAAAAGCTGATTGTGCTGCTGAATATGTAAGTAAACACTTTGTCGAAATTCACCTTCTACCTATAGAAGGTGAGATTTCATGAAAATCTCCGTATAAGTTCGATATTCGCAAGAAACGGCAAAGGTGATCGTACACGTAAGTTAACTAATCATCAGGCTCCCCTATTAATGCCAGCTACACTTTGTTCCACTGAAATCCCAGATTGTGTGAATTTGAGTGGGCCGTCGCAAGCTCTTTTTCGAGGAGTTGTTCACCTTCTTATTCATCAAATTCTTTTTCGCAAGAGTTATTTTATAAGCCAAGTAAGGTGCTAAATCAATAGGCAAGCTATGAATAGGATACGAGCATGAGGACAACGTAAATTCTCATGCAAAAACCTTAATCAATCGATTTAATCAATGAAGAAGGAAAAGCAAAATGCAGTCCTATAGAACACCCATCAATCACGATGTTCACAAATCTCACGTTCTTCGAATTCCTCTAAACATCCTTTCTTTAGTCGCTTACATTTTCTATTTGTGTCGCACATATTTCGTACTCGCTAATATGATTAGCTTTTCATTAGTACTAGTTTCTTTGCAATAAGAATTTTAGATGCTCGGACAACGACGGCAGAGTTTAAAGGCCGAGGACTTTTTACGCGAACCAACGCCACCATCATCGTGGGTAGGAAAGGTAGTTAAGAAATGAAATAAGAAAAAGAATGTATTCTTCTATACGCAGCTTAAGTGTCACATTTATTCTTTCCGCATATTTTAAAACAAGTCGTGTATGTCATTGTCGTGTGATCCACTAAGATAGAAAAGGATAACAACTTATCTAATCAATGCACTTCAGTAGAAAATCCATACTGATCTGTGGGAACTGGGACACCGATTTCTTTGTCACTGTCCGAAAAAGTTCCTTTGTATGCGGAACAAATTCTGGTATATGAACAGGACAACTGTTGGCAAATGCGATTGTGAACAATCAGTATGATATACTTCCTGACGATCTGTACCGTTGCTCCTCTCAAAAGTATTCAATGTATCAAATGAAGTTGTAGTAGCTACCGTACCTAAGGAATAAATTCAATCGTCAGCAGACGTCATTCAAAGCACGTGATTTATTCAAATAGTGTTTTTTCTTGGAATTCTCTCCTCACAGATCTCTTAGTGTACTTTGCTGACTACAGTGACTGTTTGTGATAGTAGTAGAACACCTGTCGATTACACAGTATCGCAGTATATCGATGGATGAAGATTTCAGGCAAAATACTACTATGATCTCTATAATTGTCGTTACTTCGCGCCGTTTCTGCTTCTGTTTCTCTACTCGATACTGGGCGCATGGGTTTTTTACTTAGTGGAATATGAAAACGAAAAAGAGATGAAAGTGTAAGTGGACCTACATGTTGATAAAAAAATGAGACGAATGGCGATTGATTTCGATTTGTAAAGCATAAAACTTTTACTCATTTTGCTTACTAAGATGCCATTAGTAGAAATTCTGCGGTATAGCGGAAAGTAGTTAGTGGAAAGTATTGTCTAGCCACAGGTTCCGTCGGTACTGCCGGTTTCCATCGCAGATTACCTAGCACATCATAGGTTCTTAACAGTAAAGGCAGCAGAACACCATATATACCGTCTATTTGTATGATTTAACATAGGATATTCTTCAAATTAGAGTGTGGGCTCTGCTGCCAATTGACGATTTTGTTCCCTTCACGAATGGCGGTGGATGCTAATCGATCAGAGAAAACTTTTCCCAGAAAAGGTTAATTTGTAACCTACCGATCCAAGAGAGATGAGGAATGGTTTTGCTTTGAGTGTTGCCGACCCAGCGAACACGTTTATAAATACACGTCGCGGTCGTTCTTGTATCTCACAGCTGTACACTACAACAGACCACAGGAACAGTTGAGCTATAGGAATGGTAGAGCCTTCGCAATCGCTAACCAGAATATTTAGGCCTGAAACGTCAGCCGGTTCGTCCACCTTTTTTGTGGATCCTATAAACCCACCTAACGAATTATTTGTGAGCTTTCGCTAACCACGAAACATAGTTGGGGATAGTAAAGTAGAATAGAAGAGCAAGGTATATCTTTACTTTTTGCTAAGTAAGAAAATGAAGGATCTATAGAGTACAGGGTGATCGCCAACCTACCTCTCCGTACTCTCCATCTAAAAGTGAGGCATAGATGGGAAGGAGCTGTGATCGAAGTAGAACATTGATTTCGTAGATGATCCAAATTTCGGCGTAAATGTTTTAATCCCCACAGTAATAAGGGGGAACGCAGCATTTCAGAGAACTGAGACATAATCCTTTTAAAGCTGTTACCTAGAGTAAGTCTAAACGAGGAATAGTTATTTGCGAAGAAAGTTTCAGAAGAGAGGTGCTCGATCTGGATCGACTGCGGACGAATGCTTTTCAGCGAATAGTAGGCCTTTTTCAAGCCAGAAAACGAAGCGAAAGATTGGCAAAGTCAAAGTACAGATCAGTTATATTTTCCTCTCAAGACTTTTCAATGCCATTATAATAAAATCTTAGAAAGTTCTTAATAAATGAGATTTCATTAAGGGATCTTCTGCTATGGTACGAAAACGAACTACAGAAAGTGAAATTGCCAGAGGCATTGGAATGGGATATGTGGGGAGCTTTATTTTATGTAGGAACGATTTTTACAACTATTGGTATGCTTTTTATGTTACTATCAATTGATCGTTAAAGATGCATCTCTGTTTAGCCTTTTTATAAGGCTTTTTTGACATATCCTGTAGAATTACTTCACATCTGAGCTGTCTAACTTCACAAAAAAGAATTTGTATGATATCCTGCACATTGTCACTTGAGTGGTTTATAAGAAAAGACTTTTCCTCTCGAAGTTTTGAGAAATTCGCAGCACAGTGTTGCGAGGTCAATCAACATCAAAAATTCGCTACCATTTGCGGAGTGAAACAATGCTTGTCAGCTTACGATTAGATTTCTGGCATGACGACAGTGATTCGGTTAAGTTGTTCGTAGTCGTCATAATGAGTCGACGAGAGCTTTCCCACCATACATGCTCCTTACCAGTTTGAAGAGGATTCCAGACATAATTTTATTAAAAAATTCCACTTTTGAATAGAAATCTCTAGCTCCTTCTCGGGTCGATGATCCTGCTGTGAGAACAGAATGGATACCATTGATTTTAGGTTACGGTAACATCGTACCTCGAACAATCACTGGACGGGCGCTGTCGGTGGTGTATGCGATTATCGGTAGGCTTCATATCAGTTTTAAGATACGTTAATCGGCCAATTCGATTTGCACATAACTTATTTTTACTAAAGACGGAAACTCGACAAAATCAACTCGTATAGTTTATTTAACGGAATTATTTTATTGCTTCGTGTCTGCGGTGGGGAACGAACGCGCTATTGTCCAATCACCTGTCAACGGGATTGATCTGAAGATCCCAAATCAAAAAAACCTCAGCTTAACTGGGTTCATTGCCGATTTGGACTCCCCAGATCAATACTGATGACGGGTGATTGGACAATAGCGCGTTCGTTCTCCACCGCAGACACCTGCGGTCCGGAGCTTTGCAAATATCTCAGCATCATTGAAGTTATATTTCGCAATAGATCCTGCCTTTAAAAAGAGTAGGCACTAAATAAAACGGTTAAGATTGTGATTACCGCTTCGCATTCATACGAGTTACGAGAGTTTTTAGTGCTTTTTCTTTACACTTAAACATAAACACGTCATACAAAACCTCTACAAAGCGTCGTCTTAAGCCACGGAAATATTCGACCAATTTTCTCTTGAAATTTTTAATTAGAACATTATTTAAAATTTCTTCAAAGGCTTTGAATGTTTTTTAAACAGCGTTCAAAAAGCGGAAAGTGAACGTAGAAGGAACCGCGATCAAACAGTTTTTTCCGTCATTTTTTTAACACATATAGTGCAGTAATTAGAAATGCCCTGATATGCATTTGGTCGTCGGATCGAATCCGTGCCGCAGGCCAGTCAAAACTGCATCGCTGCGGAGCTGGTAGAATAGTATTAGACCTAACCTACATGGTAGAATAAAAGCATTCAGATAATGCTTCGATAGGTCTCCTCTATTCAAATACGCTAAATATGCATCCAATCAACTCTTCAATTTTAGGAGTGAAGATGAATATAGGACTCAACAATTGATCAGTTCGCATGCTTTTTGCACTTCGACACATTTTGCGCTTCAATGTCTATGTAGCTTGGTACACTAAATTCCCACGGATCTCCTTCATAGAAGGATCTCACGCCGGTTGGTCGCCAAGCAATGTGGCGCATCCCCAAGTGAGTGACGTATTAGAGGTTGATCGCGGACGAAATTTGCTTCTGTGAGACGCAGATAGATCAAGGTGATGGACCCGCTGTTTCTGCTGTCCCAATTTGGCAAATACCTTCCGTATTTGCGAGAAGGTATTCATGAATGTGTGCATGGGTGCATTCTCGTCCATGCGGATTGTACTCTACGAGACAATTCGGCGAAAAGCCTGCAATCAAGTAACAGTATATGGGAGGCGATTAGTAGTTGCCTGTAACACGTAAATTCTCCGTCCAATCTGCGAGAAATTGACAGACTACTCGTGAGTATACTCGGCCTCAACGCTCAGAGCTCAGCAAGTTATACATAAGATTCCAAAAGCTAAGCACAGGAGAATAAACGGGCCTCATTCCCCCAACCTCGAAGGAGCCGCCTATCCGACAGCGTCGGGTAGGACGAGGGCTGAGAGGCTGCTAAAATCTTAGAGCCATTCTAGGCCTAGGCTGTCTAGATCGCAAAGAACTAAGGTGATCGTGATCTGCCTCTACAATACACAAACAGCAGAACTAGGATCTGGGTCTTCGAAAGATTTGATCATACAAGCAGGAAAGGTAAGGCCCGATATCATCGAACTGGCCGAGATGAGAAGAGGCCACCCGTTCAACGCCGTCTATGACACTGCAGGAGAACGGCCCTTCGGAACATGCGGCAGTGGAAGAGTGGGCGGCGTTTTCGTCGAGACGAGTTTGAATATGAACGTCGATCCATTCGAGCAACTAACAACCCGAATCTGTCGTTTACGATTGAACAGATTGATTCAATACCGACTTTGACAATCTTCGTCGATTACGCGTCGACATCAAACTATGATGATGGAAAAGTCGAAGCGTTGTGTATGGACTTGGAGAAGTTCTACAGAGAAGACGATACATTCCTTAATGTCATCATTGGAGATTTCAACGCCGAGGTCGCACCAAGAAGAACGTCTGAAGAACGTCACATTGGGACCCACGGATTAGAATGGAGCGAACAGATTGAGCGGCTGTTTGAGTTTATCATAACGACCAAAACTATTCATGGTTACTCGCAATTCCGGAAACCCAACCTTCAGCGCTGTACGTGAGAGCCTTCCAATGAGGGCTACAACAACGAAATAGACCACATCATAGTAAATCGAACGTTTCGTCCAATTGATGTCGCTTATTTCTCGCGGAGAGGAGAAAAGAAGCTAAGTTCAAAAAACAAAATCCCAAAAACACCATAAACTGGGATTTATTCTGTTCATTAGTCAGCCGTTGTGATGATGCCGTTCTCGATAACATGGACAAGGAACACGATCGCCTCACTCAACATCTTCACTTTAGCGCTATGAAGGCTGAGCGTTCAAAAGTCACCAACATAAATCTGTCTCCAGAATTAATCTAGCCGATAAGCCAGTTTCGAATCGCGCAAGCTACGCGCAACCGCCAACTCACGCCCGAACTTCCAGAACAATGCAGACAGGGGATAAATGAAGATCTTAAAGAGAGAAGAGCACTAGTAATGGCTGAAGTTGCGGAGGCAGGGAAAAGCATTGCAAAACCCCAACGAAGCTTCGCCAATTTCAAAACCATGGTGAAGTTATACCGACGCTCAGATGGAACAATAGCCTCCAGAAAGACAGGGAAGAAAATCAGTCACGAACATAACTCGGATCTATTCAATATTCACATCCTCCTGTGATCACCTGAAATAAAGGAGAATAGATACGTACTTTTATCCGCTCTCCCTTCCAAAATCCGACATACTGATCCGAAATCGGTGAGTAATCGAACAATATCTGGGCCACAGAGGATAAGATCTGAACACCTAAACAACCTTCCGCCATACTAATCAACACACTGAATCGACTCATCACACGCTACCTCTCTGAATGCGAAGTCCCTACTCAATAGAAGATCAGTAAGACAGTGCTATTGATCACGAAGGGTTACCTCCACGATATCGCAAACTATCGGCCAATCTGCTTGCTGTCTGCCATCAACAATATTCTCACTCAAGTCATCTAAACGGGATTAACAGAACGCTGGACAAAGGAAGCCACGTGAGGAGCACATGCATACGACAACACGACTCACTGAAGCATCACAAGAGCGGAAGAAACTGCTCCGCCTCAATTTCTTTCTCTTGAGGAAAGTTTTTGACTCAATTGAGCTAGAAGCAGTCATGGAATCCCTAGATAACTAAGTAGCTATACAATATATAAAAATTTTTCTCGAGCTGTATAAAATACAACCAAGAAATCTATAACGATATTAAGATCGATGTTAAAAAAAGGGGTTGTGCAAGGCGGTACCACCTCGCCAAAATTATTTCCTACTACTCTCGAGAACTTCATGCAAACAATGGGACAATATAGGAGTAACCGGAAATTTGGACGATGACCGGAAATTGCACCATGTTTGCTTTGCTTATAACACCGTTTTCATAATATCAAACAGTAGGCATAAAAAATGAACACTTGGTGACTTTGACAAGCCTGTAGACGATCAGCCCTCGACTAAATCTTATCACCTGTATCACCTGTAGTCCCACTGACCATCGAATGACTCGAGCGGGCGCCAATAAATCTTCCATTTTTGCCTGCCTCGTGCAAGAGAAGCGCAGTGGGTTCTGCTCGCCCTAGGGACTCGTCGAGCATAATATCTTTCTTTTAGGATCTTCATGAAAAACTCTAACCTTTGAGTCGGTGGTCTTCCTGCAGTGCGTTTGACATCCCGAGGAATCCAGTTAATAACGGCTCTTGTCCATCGGTTGTCCTTTATACGGATTATGTGCCTGGCCCACCTTATTTTCGACTGTTGTACACAACGGCATCTTAATCTTTGATCGTTGATGCAGCTCGGGGCTTCGAATCGCATCCCTTACTTGTGCGAAACGGGAAACTCCTAGCATCAATTGATAATTCAACGTTTTTTCTTCAATAAGCAGACACGAGGTTGTTAATATAGAATTTATTAGAATACAATAGCTGACGTTTCGGCGGTTTCGCCTTCTTCAGAGCCTGGAAAGGTCAAATTGAGATGTGATCTACTCAGCCAAACACTTTCATAACCCTAGCAGATAAGACTTGACAAATCGATTTGCATTCGCATAAGAAACAGCTTCATTCAAACACCTACCGTTTATTTGTTGTAAGTATTTAAGTTAGTTGGTGGATAGCCGCCGCACAGAGTAATACATGGTCGATAACGGTGTCCATGTCAGGTCATTGGATCAGCCTGAGGTATGGCGCCAGATCACGCGTGATGACAAGACACTCCTCCTTGCGGTTCATTTTTGATTTTTTGGCATTGATCCAAAACGCTTCAAGAGTTTTACGCGCTGATGTTTTCGATTCCTGCGTAAGGATAGTGACTCCTACCTCAAAATCTTCTCCGTTGTGTTCTTGCATCCTATGCGCGCCTAGTGGAGTGTTTGGTTTTAATTTAGATTTACCGACTAGGTGTTCTTTTATGCGGAAGCAGAGCGGTCTACCCGTTTCGCCGACATATTCGTCCCCGCACGTTTTACAACTGTTTTGATACATCTGTAGGACATCTCAGATTTTCCAATAATCTAGATATGCATTCAGTAACTTTTGCGATTCTTCATGAGGTCGAATGCGTGAGACATCCATCAGGCATTGAACAACACCGATTGCTTTATCTTTTTTATCAGGAACTTGGGACTGTGGAAATATGTACACCATGGAGTTCCTCTTATACCTTTATATAATGCTATGTGTGGACTATCAGGAAGGAGACTAGTATTGAGGCCTCTCGGACATCGAAGAGATGTTACCGGCTAACGAGTCCAAAATTCCATGATCACGTGTGGCGCTCTCGGTGTACTACTGGGATTTTCGTTTAGCCCTCAACAAAGCCAAGATTTTTACACATCGCCTATAGTACATTTAAAGGATGTCTACTGAAATAGAATCGCCACTGCTCCACAAAATTTCAAGCTCAACTACACAGTTCACGCATTCCGTACAGATTTTCCGTCATAGAAATTTACAGTTATGATCATACATGAGACTTGGTATCCGTATAGAAGAGAACAACGACGAAGTGAAACGAAACCGAAATATTCTTCAGTTCGCACTACAAATGACAGTAGTGAATCCTTGAAGTATCAAAATTGTCTAGGTATCCAAGTAAACCAAAAACAATCCAGGGCGATAGAAACGAAAAACCTGAACTGTCTTTATCGTACTCTCGCCATTGCTTCTGTTGTTGTTAAAGTTTTTGCTAATGTTGCTGTTAATGTTGTTGTTGTGGGTGTTGACGTCACTATTACCACGAATGTTGTTGCTGTTGCTGTCGTTGTTTTTGTTGGTGCTGGCATTCATGCTGTTGATACTGTTTCGACAGCAATAACTGCAATAATCACTAGTATAATAAAACATTACTAAGAACGATGATGAGTGTCGTAATAAAATTCCGATTTTTCATGAGGAAAAGGCTTAACACAGAAATGTTCTTTGCATTTGCGTTGATCAATTTCGCACTGACACTGAACACTTCTCCGGTAATTTAACACCTTTGCAACCATGCCAAGAGAACAGTTGTTGTGTTTCGTATGAGCTTGAACTCTAGGCAATCTCAGCGGAGCCCGCAGAGGAAAAAATGAAAGAGTCTAATAAAAAAGTGTGAAAAAGAATAACAACAAAAACGAAAGGGTAAACAAACACGTACAGACGTATTTAAATTCTTGTTTTGCCAATGACTTCGCTTAAATTAGGTTCCCACCACGATATCGAAATTCGCCAGCCTGCTGTAGTGTGCCAAACTATGCTGTCAAAAAAACAAAGCTAGAGGCAAAAGCAGCTTTTCTCGAAACATTCACATGATTAAAACAATATCGCTTTCTGCTGAGGAGGTGACCTCTCGTTGAAATCAGGTTTCGCTCCAAAAAAAAATTGGAAATCAATATGCTGATTTCTCACGTTTAGACCAAACTCAGATATACGGTTGAAGTTAAATATGGATAAAAACCTATTTCTTCCTGTCTCTTTAAAGTGTAGCTAGTTTACTAAGAATGTAACCCTTTCATAATGTCATCCATCCACATTCGCGTAGTATATTCTCTTCATGTTACTGTCGTTTAAGCGCTTTTGTAGCGCTTCGACAATTATCGACTTACTTTCGATTATCGATTGATTTTTTTTAGGAATTCCACTAGTTTTGGCGATTTTATCGAGATTCGGCCAGTTCCTGGAGCACAATATTGCTCGAGTATGGTTGAAACATCGAGAAAAAATCAAGGAAGCACATAAACAAACCAGAAAACGCATTTCAACCAGAGTTAACGCAGGGTTAGTCCTGTTTGACCTGTTCATTTTTCGTTAATATGAGTTATTTTTTCGGAGTCTACATTAGTTTTAATCAAATATATGCTATATATTTGTAAAATTCTTCAACCTTATAATGTTTTTTAAAACCTTCTTTTCAATTTTAACTTGTTATTTACTGCCTACTCTTTTTAACGGCAGGGTATACATTGTGAAATATAACTTAAATGATGCTGAGATATAGATGAGTTATATTTCACAATGTATACCCTACCGTTAAAAAGAGTAGGCAGTAAATAATAAGTTAAAATTGTGGTTATAACTGCGGCGTAAGCTTAACTGGGTTCGTTGCCGATCTGGGCCCTCCAGATCAATCCCGCTGACGGGTGATTGCTGATGGCAAAAGATCGATTGAGCTAGCTGAGAGACGGGCAAAACGAAGGACCCGCATGGTGTGGTGGTGGACGCGCTACTTCCCGGAAAAGACAATAGCGCGTTCGTTCACCACCGCATACACCTGCGATCCGGAGTTTTGCAAATATCTCAGCTTCTTTTCAATATTTTTCACTATCTTTTTCTACTTTGACTATACTGCTTTTTTATCAAATGTACATAAAGTTTCTTAAAGTTATTCGAGTTTCTAAGGTGATTACTAACTTCCTTTCACAAAAATCTTAAAAGTTCTTAAAAGTTTCGCAATAGGAAGATTGTAAAGTTCTCAGGATTATTGATTTTAGAGCGTCATTATACGCGCTGGAAGAAGGAAAACTGGTCGGTTCACCGGTGAGATCGGAACCGTTCGGGGATAAACTGATAGACGAATCAAGGTAGCTTTATCAAGCGGGAAATGTGCTGAACATTATCATTTCGCATGAACATCGTGTTCATCGTATTCAGCGCGAGTATGGCTACGGTAGGAAGGGATCTGCAATACAGATGAGTTAGATCCCGCGCTACAGGCCTCGCACGCCATCCATCCTCCCGGGTTCGGTAAACTGGTAACAGACGTAACTGAGAGAATAGCAGCCCGGACTCAATACATCGGTAGGCCGCCGCGAGTCCATGTATAAACGTTGATGGAGCCGAATGTGTGGCACATCCTTCAGAAACTGATCAACGTTGAGACCTTTGTCCTTTATCCTTTTGTCATATTTAACTGCTCAAGAACACAGATGGCCACTTTACTGCAGCAGTTTTCTAAAAATAACCCCTCGAATATCCTCCGGTTTGCGTCGCCTATTTCCCTCCAACTTCACATAACGAACCTAAAAAGCTGGCTATCCCAGATTTCTAGAAAAATGTTATGACATTATTTGCTGCGCAGTGGTCAAAAGAACCGAAAACTACACACGCAATGAAGAGTTCAATTGTGGAAATCTGGCAAATCAAGCTCTTCCTGTTTCCGGGATTACCAGATTAGTATTGCATGAGTAAGTGAAAAACGAGCTTATGACATCGTTAGGCGTGCGTAAGTCATTTTATAGACGAATATACAGTCAGTGGCCTTACTCACATGGGATGGATCTGTGTTTAACGCATTATCCTTTACCCTTTATGGAAATTGCGATGCGTCCAACACATCTCTCCATGTAATAGATTATTCAATTATCACATGCAAAATACTTGTGAGAAAATATTTCAACCGAAGTAACAAAATCTGAAAAAGTTCTGTATGTTTCGAAATACTTTACTCACATACAGTTAACCAAACCCTCTTGGTGCTTAAGTGGGGCGAAGAGGTGAATTTTTAAGTTTTTGCTTACTTTTATACGACCCGTATTCACTTCTACCGCAAAATTCCAGCACTTCTTACACTCGTTTCGTTTCCTTCCATCCATCATACACTAAGAGCCTTCAACTTTTACATATGGTTTCGGCTGTTGCTCAAGGGTCTTAATTTCATTTTGACTGTCGTAGAATGTTAGTCGAGTCGATTTTCCCTAGAGTCCTGAGATAGCCGGACTGGATCGCTTGGATTGGATTACAGACAATGATTTTCCCAAATAAGTCCGGCACCGATTTTCCGACTTCGGTGAAATGACACGATGGGTGGACCTGAGATGGGATCGAATCAGCACCATACCCGAGATGGTGGGAATTAGCATCGTGCCCATTATGGTCGTCTTCACTACCAGTCCGCCTCCACCCCTTCTCAAAAAAACCAAATTTCTTAAACACCATCTGTATCACCTGTAGTCTCCTTGATCGTCGAGTGACTCGAGCAGGCGCCAGTAAATCTTCCATTTTTCCCTGTCGAGTGCAAAAGTAGTCCAGTGGATTCTGCTTGCTCTAGGAGTTCGCCGAGCATCACACCTTTCCTCTAAGTTTTTCGTGAAGAACTCCGCCCATCGAATCGGCGGTCCTTCTCCATTAAGTTTGACATACCGAATCCAGTCACTAAAGGCTCTTGTCTATTGGTTGTAATTCATACGGATTACGTGTCTCGCCCACCTTACCTTCGAGCGTTTGGCATACAGAACAATCTCTTTGGTTTTTGATCGTTGACGTAGACCAAAGCTTCAGATCCCTTCTCAAACTCGTATGACAAGGGATACTCCTGTCTTCTCCCCAGGAGCTCCTTCACTGCTCAGAGCTTCCATGATTGCTTCTATCTCAATTGAGTTAAAGGCCTTCTTTATACCGACGAAATTGAGATAGAGCAGTCCTTTGTACCCTCGCGAAATTTCAATGAGTCTTGTTAACGTGTGGATGTGGTTCATCGTACTGAATTCTTTTCGAAACCCTGCTCGCTAACATGGCTGTCCTTCGTTCAGTGTTCTGTCAATATTATTTGAGATGGCTTGAGTGGGAATTTTGTAGACGACAGACAGTAGGCAGATTAGTTGACAGTTGCCTATATCGTAGAGGCCACCCTTCTTGAACCATATCATAGTACAGCTGGTCTTCCCATGACCTTGTATTCAGACAGGTAACTTATGAAGAACCGGGCAAGTATGTTTACGAGGACTGACGGAATATTCTTCAGGTGTTCAAATATCATTCTGTCCGGATCTGGAGCAGTTCGACTTTTCACCGACGAAATAGCATATCGGATTTCGGAAGGGAAAACCGGTGGTACAACACATCCATCCTCCATTATTCCATATGACCGAAGGTTCACGTGGCTACCAAAGAGACCTGAGTAGTATTCGTGAATGATTTTCTAAATTTTTGTTTTTTCAGTTTAGCTGCTTTTTCTCTTCTCCGCAAGAAATGAAATCTTGCACGAAGAAGGCGATGGTCCGATCCCGTATAGAAATTTACGACCACAGTGACATCGGTAACGCAAACCTTCTGTTTACTATGATATGGTCTACTTTGCTACGGTACTCTCTATTGGGAGACTCTGACGTCCTTCTAGAATCACGAGTTACCATGGATGGTCATAGCCGTCATGATAAACTCAGACAGCCGCTCACCCTTCTTGTTCCATTCCAACTAGTGGGTATCAGTGTGACGTTCTTCAGACCTTCTCCTTGGTCCATTCTTAGCGTAAAAATGTCCAGTGATGGCGTTGAAGAATGTATAGCCTTTTCTATAAAACTTCTCCTTGTCCACACAGAACGCTTCGACTTCTTCGTCATTATAGTTTGATTTCGGCGCGTAATCAACGAAAATTGTCAAGGCCGATTTTGATTCACATCTGTTCAATCGTAAACGTCCAATTTGGGTTGTTAGTTATTCGAATGAATCTATGTTTATGAAAAAACTGCCGCCAGCTGTTCTAGTGTGGCATGTTCCAAGGAACAATTCTTCTCCGGTGTCATAGACGCCACTGAATGTGTGACGTCGTCTCGCCTCGGCCCAGTTGGTGACATCGTACCTTATCCTACTTGCTTGCATGATCGAGTATTCTATTGAGGACTCAACTTCAAATGTGCGTGCATTTTAGGTACGGATCTTCACCTTAGTCCTTTCCGATTTAGGCAGCATAGAATTGCCCTAAGATTTTAGCAACCTTTCCGCACTCGTCCTATTCAACGCTGCCGAATCGAGGGCTTTTTCAGGATCAGGGGAATGAGTCCAGTTTTTTTTTACTGTATTCAGATTTTTCATACTCATGTATAGTTTACTAAGCTCTGAACGTGGAGGCTGGGTATGCTCACGAGTAGCCTGCTAGCCTGCCAATCTCTCGCAGAGTAGACGGAGACCTTATTTGCAAGAGATGACCACTAATTGTCTCCCATGTACTTCCCTGTCACTTAATTACAGGTTTTGGCCGAATTGACTCGTAGAGTACAATCCGCACAGAGGAGAATGCACCCGTTCACCCATGCTTGAATACGTCTCGCAAATACAGAAAATATGTGCAAAATCAGAAACAGGCAGTGCATCCCCTTGATCCATCTGCGTCTCGGGAACAAAAGGTCGCTTTGGTCTGCGATTAACTCTTTATCCGCCACGTGGCGACGTGCCACGCAGCATCGCTACTAATCGGCTCGAAATCCCTTAGATTAGTGGATTTTTAAATGTACTCGATACTTGATACTTGAACGGCCCGCCCTCACTAGTGCGGGCCGCAGCATAATCACCACTTTTCGGAGATTTGCTAGTTAAACCATTGTGGTTCCCGGGAATCCCCGGGAATCCCGAGGTCAGTCCGGCCAAAGTTTGCCCCAGATCATCATCACGACAGGAAGTCGCAGCCCTTGTGGATCAGAGGGAGACTTGCCACCATGCGAATTTGAAACCAGAGCGGTGGTAGATCCTGGTATTGGTTTATTCTTAGTTAGGCTTCCTGATGAAACTCCGGGCTCCTCAGTTTGGGAGGCCATGCCGGGGAACGATTCTCCCGCTGTACAGCGCTGTCCGACTCCCAGAAACACCTCCTAGCCACGATGAGGGTCAACCGTTGGGATGATTTTTAAATATACAAATAATAAAACATATCTTTAGAGTAAATAGATAATTGGTTGTAAAGAATTAGGAAAAGCGCCGTTTAGGACCATTCCAATCTGGCTAGCATTGCTAATCTGCATAAGTTGGATTTGTGCTTGCGCAGGTCTCTTCTTGATTTGGGAGAAAAGATGGACATTTTTCACCAGTCTTTATTTTTTCTTCATCTCCTTATCCACTATTGGTCTAGGTATGTTGTCATTTAGTTAGTACTTCAATCAATAATCGTATGAGAATTGCTTTTCCTTAATACGTTATTTCTTGGGTTACACTAGGCCCGTCCATATTTTTGTGATTAGGAAGCACAGCAAAAGTTTGCAGGAAGGCGCTTGCCTTACTACAACCCAGTACACAGGATAATCAGTGTAACTGAATGTGATTCGAACTAGATTTCCATTCACTTGAGCTATCAACTTAATATTATCCGTAAAATCGATGTGGTCTTTTCATAGGTGATGTCGTCCCAGATCATCCTCATATGCTGATCTTGATGTTCTGGTTGGTTATCATCGGTCTATCCATTGTCTCAATGTTGCTTACCGTAATACAAATTAAATTCGAAGAATGGTTGTACAACTTCATGATACGAATGCAGGTTAGTTGTTTGAATAAGTATATAAACCTACTTTATCAACGCATATTTCTTATATGAAATGCTGAGATATTTGCAAAACTCCGGTCCACAGGTGTATGCAGTGGGGAACGAACGCGCGCTGTTGTCATTACCGGGGAGCAGCGCACTTCACCACTACACCATCCGGGTCTCCGCATATTTCTTACTTTTGTCGTCTCGATCTTTATGCCAGTATTTTCATCCTCCAAAAACATTGTCAAAAAGTATTCTTTCTTGATAAGCTTGCACGAGGTTGATAAATTCGAAGATTCGAGAAGATGGCTCGCTGAGGAAGATCTGGCTCGACAGGAAGGCGAAGATGCAACGTCGAGGCGAACAACAAGCATGGACCATCGACTCGGATCACCGGCTCTGAGGAAGACGAAGACGTCGAAACGTTAGCCGAAAATAAAAATATATTTATCAACCTCGTGCAAACTTATCAAGAAAGAATACATATTGATTAGTCACACCGAGGTTTAGGGAAGGTCGGTTTCGAAATATTGTCAAAAAGTCTCAGTAGCGTAGAAAGTTTGAGCCATTACTCCAGTCCATCTTCATTTTTTCCCATGTTCTAGCAAGTGAACTCAACGTTTTTAGTAGAGAAAGGTGCAAAATCTGCTAAGAACAAGTCTTTTGTTCAGTCCGAAAATCATTCAGAATTTGTCTTTTCGAATTGGATCCTCTATCAGTTCCAATGAATTCATATGATCTTGTTCGGACATATGTTTGTTCACTTCCAAAAAGATCAATAATGTATTAGTAAAGGATTTAATATAAATAAGACGGTGTGTGGAATCAAATAGTTGTGATAGCTCTACAAAAAGGCATTATGATTTCAGGAAGAGTACCAACGCAACCTGGCAAGTGGTTTACCACTTAACCATGAAGAGATCCGAAAACGAGCAATGGAAGATCAACCATTTCTGATGAAACTCTTCGGATCAGATTTGATTTCTGATAGCCAAATGGAGAAAATTGAAGAGAAAGTGAGCTTTGCTTCTCCATTTCTCCCAGGCTTTCCTCTTTTTATCTTTCCTATTGTCCTATTCTAATCGCTTTTATCGTTTCAACGTCAGGCCGAGCAATTTGAGCGCATCACACGTAGTATGAACAACAAAAACATCCAAACTGAAATTCCAGTTGCTGCTGTTGCCGAAACACAAGTGGAAAAAACAGCGAATGTAAGTGCTAGGTTATAAATCGTTCTAAACTCTAGTCAAAACCCTAGAAAGTTAGAAAATGCGAAGAAGGACAACTAAGTACTACCGACGCCGCTTTCATTAATGTTTCTTTTCACTGTAGTTGATTCTTTCTTGCCACTAAACCAAACTGGCGGCTGTATACAGCGAGCAGGATGCGAGGTGAAGAAAAGCACGTGTAGCCAACATTTTCTGGTCAAAAGTATATCATATTGGAATGATGCTTACATACCACCAATGATGAGAAACTCTGCCCAGTTATTGAAGTCTTTCGCCACATTTGTGTTTTATGGATCGCAACTTTTTCTTCATGTTCCATTCTATCGATACCTCTCTGACTATATTGGTGAAATTAGATGTAAATTAACTATAAGTAAAATATTAAGCGAATAAGCGATCACAAAAGCAAGATCTCTAAGTAGTTTCAGAGCATAGCATGTGGTCCGATGACGAAATCAGATTCTAGTATTGTGGATGGGGAACAAATGCCGTGGCTGAAGTGAGTGTGGAATAATCTACGAAACTTCTCACAAAGTTCTTTCAGAGTCATGGAGCACACAGCAGAAAATAGCGGCATTATGTTTGCATCAAAGGTCCTTTCTTGCTAAGAAAAAACTCTTGGAACAGAGTTCCTGAGACAAAATGTACTTAATATGTAATATTGTAATGCGACTTTCATTCATTCTCGGGATCAATAATCAATGTCTATTTTTTCACTGATGAACTAACACGAGGTTATTATCATATTTCATTCGCCTAACATCTGGAGGTCTTCGTGTTTTCAGGGGAGGATTGATCCAAGTCGACTGCCTTCAGCCGTTCTTTTTCCCGATGTGGACATTCGTAAATGCATCGAGTTAGGTTTTTTCATTCAAGAGCTGCTCCAGTGATTTGAATTCGACTTGATGCGAAGATGAGTATCCACATCGTGAAGAAATCCATGTGTGGGTTCACGACAAGGATCAACCCGGCTCTAATGAAGATGACGAAGCTGAAAAGTTAGCCGAATAACGCTTAATATTAACTCATGTTAGCTTATCAGTAGTATAGAAGAATACTTACTTTATCACCTGTATCACCTGAAGCCCCGTTGATCTTCGAGTGACTCGAACGGGCGGCAGTAATACTTCTACTTTTCTCCGTCGCGTGCAAGGTCGCTCGAGGGACTCGTTGAGCATCACACACCTCTGTTTTACGGTTTTCGTAAACAACTCTGACTATTGGGCCGGTGGTCTTTCTGTAGTACGCTTGACATCCCGAATCCAGTGACTAATTGCTCTTGTCCATCAGTTGTGGTTCATACGCATGCGCATTACGTGTCCAGCACACCATATCATCGACTGTTACAGACGTACAGAGCGACATCTTTGATTTTTGAACGTTGACGGTGGTCGAGGCTTCGGATCCCTCCCTTTACTTGTGTGACACGGGATACTCCTAGCATCGTCCTTTCGGCTGCGCGTTCAATAACTCTGAGTGATCTTTCATCCTGCTTACGCACCGACCAAGTTTCTGACGCATGCGCTAAAACAAGAAGTACCATTCAGTCGAGAAGTTGGGCACGGAGTCAGGTGATCTTTGTTCTCTTTCCAACATCCTCGATTCTCTTGAAGGCTACCAAAACCAGCAGTTTCCTCGGGCTCAAGGGCTAATTCGCTCAACATGTTGATTTCCCTGCCTAGATAGACATAACTGGAGCCTTTATTTGTTCAGAAGTTATCCTATCCGGACCTTGCGCTGTTCTACTTTTCAACCACGAAGTAGCATGTCGAGTTTCGGAAAGGAGAACAGGTGGTACGACATATCCATATTCCTTTTATTTATAGGAGAACGTAGGTATTGAAGAGATCTGAGTAGTAATCGTGAATGATTTTCTCCAGTGCTTTCTGGAAGCTGTAACTGTTCCATCTGGGCGCCGCTATGCATTCATCATGGTTTTTAATTAGCGAAGCTCTGGTGGGCTTTGCGATTGTTCTTCCTACCCTCTGCAGGTGCGATCATAATTGCTGCTCTTCTCCCTTCAAGGTCTTGTTTTACCGCTTCTCTCCATTCTTTTGCAAGTTCGGACGTTAGTTCGTGGTTGCCTGCAGATCGTGCGATTCCACACTGACGTGTAAGTTCGAGTGTTTGCGGAGACAGACGTCATGTGGTGAATTTAGAGCTCTTGCTTTCATAGCGTTAATGTGAATGTGTTGAAGGAGCCGATCGTATTTCTCATCGATGCTATCGAGAATGGCATCTTCTTAACAGTCGACTTGTGAATTGAATAAATCCCACTTTATGGTGGTTTTACGACTCGGTTTTTTCAATTCTGCTGCTTTTTCTTCTTTCGGCGAAAAGCTAAATCATGCACGAAAGAGCCGATGGTCCGATCTCGTGTAGAATTTTTAGACAACAGCGACATCGCTAAGACAAAACTTTCGATTTAGTATGAAGTGGTCTTAATAACTCAAAAGCCCGGCTTTCTATAAGCCTCGGCATAGATAGTTGATATATTTATTTATATAATCTTATAAACTGATCTTCTTTAGCTGATGCGAGGTTGGTATAGGACTTCTTTGTCGTTGTCGTTGTTGTTGGTGTTGTTGGTCGATGGCTGACTCCGCGATTTCGCCTTCCTCAGAACCTGGTCGTATTTTATATTAGAATACTTTAATTATTCGGCAGAAAAAATAGGCTAAAGTATTAATGAAAATCAAACTTTTAAATAGATGGTGGGTTAGGAACCTCGAATCAGGTAAGCAAGATCAGTTTATAAGATCATATAAATAAATATATGAAGTGGTCTATTCCGTTACAGCACTCTCCACTGGAAGACTAAGCTTCTATATTTAACGTTGAGAGTGGAGCTTCTGAAATTGAGAATTACAATGAATGTTCTTGATCGGCATGATAAACTCAGACAGCCGATCACCCAGCTCATTTCATTCTAATCCATGGGTTCCATTGTGACACTCTTCAGATGTTTTGCTTGCTCCAATGTTAGCATTGAAATCTCCAATGGTGACCTTGAAGAAAGATGCCCTTCTCTGTAGAACTTCGCCTTATCCATATAGAACGCTTCAGTCAACGAAGATTGTCAAAGCTGAATTTGATTCATATCTGTTCAATCGTCAACATCCAATTCGGGTTGTTAGTTGTTCGAATGAATCGTTGTCCATGGACAAACTCATGTTGACGAGAACACCGACGCTGCCTACTCCTCCACTGTCGCATGTTCCGAAAAACAGTGCTCCTCCGGTGTCATAGACTACGTTGAATAGGTGCCGTCGTCTCGCCTCGGCCAGGTCTATAACGTCGTACCTCATCCTTATTGCTTGCATGAGCAAGTCTTCTATCGAGGACTCGGTTGCAAGTGTATGTGCATTGTAGGTGCAAATTGTCATTTTAGTTATTTTCGATTTAGGCAACGTAGAATGGCCCTCATATTTTAGCAGCCTCTGCGTACTCGTCCTACGCAGAGCTACCGAAACGGGGCTTTTTCAGGGTCACGAGATTGAGGGCCGTTTCTTTTACCGTGTTTAGCCTTTTGATATCCTCGCATAGCTTGCTGAACTCTGAACGTTGGGGCCTTGTATATTCATGGGTAGCTTGCTAGTCTCTCATGGAGTGGACATGGAGGTTATTTTTTGGAGGCCGTGTAACTGCCTCGCTGTCACTTAATTGCAGGTTTTTAAGCGAATTGAGTCGTCTAGTACAATTCGCATAAACGAGAATGCACCCACGCATCGTTGAATACGTTTCATAAATACAGAATGTAAAGGCCGCTTTCCGTCCGCGATTAACCACACATCCGCCATATGGGAACGCGCCACGTAGCCTGGCGACTGGCCGACTGGTAATCCCTCATGTAAGGGCGATCTTTAGTACTTGTCCTATAAATTATTAAATTTCTGTTATTGTTTGTTTTCGAAATTTAGCTTCTTAACTTGCACTTAATGTTTTTCCCTTTATTTCCCGTTTTCTTGGTTTCCTTCTTTCAAAATTGTTATTGTTTCTATTTATTAGTGGTATAGTGCCTCAACTTCATTTTTTCAGGGATGTGTCGGCAGGGATAAATGAGGAGCACTTGACTGGAAGATGTGATGAGGAACGGGACTCAATGTCTGATGCTACCAGTCTTCCGTTGGATTCAATAAGGTGAGAATAAAAAGATCTCAATGATAATATTTAATCGACTTTAGAAACGAGTGTCCTGGAAAATTCTGAACATTTATTATCGGAATTATTGAAGGAAGGTAATATAGCATTTTAAAATTGAATAGTGCAGTTTTTCTTTTGCTAGCGCATATAATTTGGTTTTGGCTGTTCCTGTACAATAAGTTTTGAGAGAGTTCACTATGGTATGTAATTATTTTTGAAACATCTCTCGAAAATAATAATTTGATGAAGTTCGCGAATTTTATGGTGATTGAATGAAAGCAGTATTCATTCCAGTTGCTCTAAGTGGAAGCCCGAGGAAAAAAACAGCAAGCGCGTGCTCTTTGTAGACGATGTTT